ACTTGACGAGAACAAAATGTTGCTTATTGTGCCCATGATAATCTCATTGAAACTGGTTCTACAGGACAAAGGCAATGAATTAATCTTCAAAATACTCTCCATATTAAATCAGAAAGTCAAATCTTTCTCTTTGATGAAGCCGATAATGCTCTAGATTCAGAAAAGCAAGAAAAGTTTCAAAAAAAATTAGAAAAGTTAGTTAAACAAAAAAAAATAGTTATTAGTGCTAAGTGCTAAGAAAATTAGTTTTTTATTTCCTTAAATATTTTGGTATGCTAAAGATGATTACTATTATTGGTGAAAAGGAAGTGGGGAAAACTACCCTTTTTCGTCAAATAACTAAAAAATATTCGAGCAGATTTAATAAAAATCCAGTTCCGATAGTTAATTATGTTGAAGAAATAATTAACATTGAGGGCAATAATTATAAACTAATTGATACTCCGCCATTCATCTTGTCTCTGCAAACAGAAATAGAGAAGGCGAGAAAGAATCAGTTAATCGAATTATTGAAAAAAAGCAACTTAGTTTTGTGAGTAGTCGACAAAGTAACTGAAAGTACTTTTTCCATTAATCAACATTTAAAAAAATTTAAAGTACCAAAATTTTTGTTACTTAATAAAACAGATTTAGGGGATTCCGAAGATAATTTTTCTTCCTATCAAAATTTGCAGTCCGAATCTCAGTTTTTTGTTTCGGCTTTGCAAGGAACTGGTTTAGATGATTTAACTGCCAAAATCATCAATTTCTTACCTTTACTCCACCAAGAAAAAGTTTCTAACCTCAATAACGGATTAAATTTACTTATTTTTGGAGCACCAAATTCAGGAAAATCTACTCTAATGAATTATTTATTGCAAGAAAATCGTTCGGTGGTTAGTTCGGTGGCTGGAACTACTCAAGAACCGGTAACTAGTTCCTGAAATTGAAAAAAAGTTAATTTTCAATTAATTGATACTGCCGGAATAACTAGAGAACAAAAAATAAAAAGCGACTTATGAAGAAAATGTGATTTAGCGTGGGTAATAATTGATGCTTCTTTACCTTTGACTAAACAAATATATCAAATAGTTAACTTAGGAGAAAGGCATAATAAACCTTTAAT